TACGACTTATTTAATATCAATATAATGTTAGCCGACAACTTTGTTCGTGAGAATATTTTATATACACGGTGTATTATACATATATCCGAGATTTGCGATCGAACAGGCACGTAACGTTAAAGGTTCATACACATTTTAGTGGTAGTTTAGTGGTTTCTGAACGATAATTCATATTGCGAAATAAACATTCAGAAAACAACCATTTATAATATAAGTGCGGACAAACCATTACAATAGAAATCAAAATGTATGTAATCTTTTATTATTACAATTTGGAATTTGATAAAAAACGTCCGTTGCGGTCGTAATTTACGCCGTAATAGTTATTTTATTTATTGGAATGTCAGTATAGATCTTTGCCTTTACAATTCTGCACATAAATTAGGTATTGGGACCGCTAACGAATTTTGTCATTGTTCATATTAATGATAAAATTAGAATTTAATGATGAAGGCAGAGCTTGTCGCTTAACACGAGGCAATCAAACGTTGATTGGGAAATGATAAAAACTAATAAAGAGGAGTGTTCAACGACTTGTCACGGCCGGCGCCGTCTCCTCCACCGGCACTCGACTTTTTAATTTTTTCATTTTCAGTTCACTGATCTGTACTCGGAGCATTCAATCCACAATTACATTTAGATAAAACAATATTTCACATCCAACACGATTATTTTAATAACTATTTTATAATATATATTGTACGATGATATAAATTTGTGATATTCTAAAGAACTATTTTTATACTATACTTAATTTGTTTTCATAGTTTATTTGACCAGAAAGTACCTAAGCAGAACTAAAAGCGAAATAAGTTTTTGAGCTATATACGGTGTTATGTAAGAGTAAGATTATAATGTTATTGAACAATAGCGTGAAATCGGTAACTTTCCCGACAGAGGATTGGCTCACGTCTATTCACTATTGATTTATTTATGAATTACAGATACAGAATTATGCCCTTCATTCACTTTGTTTCGTTTGAACTCAATAATTTTTTAATCATACTTCCTACTTCTGCATTAAAACTTCTTCAAACTATATAAACGACGTCGAGGTCATTATTTCATAACTAATTCCCATTACATCGTACCGGAAATAGAGCCACGACGGGGCCTAAAAAACGCCGTGTGAAGTAAATAGTAGGTGGACAATACACATTCATTGTCTAAATGTAATCAAACAGTTTATGGCCCGTAATGAAGAGTCGCGACCCGCGGATGTAGTGGAATCCGATGTACTATTTTTATCTTAAGTCAGCGGGATGCGAGTGCACCCAGCCTCCGCAGCCATTATCTCGATTGCTCTCGGAATAGATCTGTAATCATGCATAATGCAATACATGCCCTACATGGATTACATTATTTTTTGCAAGTTTAATTCCAAGTCAGTTCCTTCGATTTGTAGGACTGCATAGGTGCGCGTACGTCGACGAAAGAAAAAACCAGTCGGTTAATGAGATCCGGACTTAGCTAAGCTTAAAATAAAATTAATTTTTATTACGAAACCTAACTTTGAACAGGTTCTCATTAATTTATAGAACGGACGAATTATAAAAACAAAGGCTTCGGTTAATTGTTTAGTTTGTATTAATCAATCAATATTCTAGAAATGCGCTCAGCTCAGATTGCTAAACTCAGACTGGTTCACTACAACGGTATATCTCATGAACTGTCTACTGATTTTAAAATGATAAAATCCAAATAATACGGACGATTAAAATTGCTGTGGAATCAAAAGGTCTTAACACGTATTTATTGGACGTTTTGTTTTAATAATTAATTTGCGGGTCACTCACACTTATACATTTGTACAATTATTACGTATACATAAATATTGGTACTCGTATATAATATAATTTTTATCCATGATTGTTTTAAAGAGCGCTGAAGGTCTATAGAACCGTACGAACGTGTGATTTTTATGTATTGAAGTTATACTTCTTTAGGCCTTATGAAAATTTATAGATAAATTTTAATGCGCGACCTATACACAAAATTAGTTATTATAGCTGGCAATCACAAAAAAATAGAATATAACTAACTTCAGCATATTCTATTTCTTAGCTTAAGCTTAACAAGAATTTTAATATCCATACAATTGACATCTGACAATGACATTTACCTTTTAAACAAATATAGGAGTTTGAATTATTTTTAAAATAAAAAGATTCTAAAAGTACCTAGTTATTTTCATTATACAAGTGCGAATTTTATATGGGTTGAATTATAATCAGAAATTGAATATCTAAATCAATATAATTAATATGAAAAATATTTTGAAAAAACTGTGCCAACCTTCTGAGTTTCAATACAATTGAGTTAACTATCCGTATGTATTATCGAGTATTATTTTGATAAAATGAAACATGAACTTAATTAACTTTTTGTTTATTGTTTTACAGCAACTTTTTAGAAATATTCTACGACCCTATATATCAATAATTGAAACAAAATTTAAGCAGAATACTAATAAGGAGAAAATGAAGGCTTGAGCATATTAAGAGAATAAACATTTTAATAAGTACTGCATCTCAAAAAAATGATTAATTATTTAATCAAAACATGTAATTTTTCAGATTTAATCTAGAAATATAAGGAAAGAGACAAAAACAATTTAGTGAATGACTAAATTAAAAAAAAAAGTTGTCATCTTATCGCCGTGAAACATAAACAAGAGGTGGAACAAAGCCACCATCACCTTCTCCAGACACAATGGATATGCAGAGATGATACGAAGTTTAAGTAGATTTCAATGAATTTGATTGTGATGGTGTGAGGTAGGAATGTTAATTATAAATATAGATTAGTCAACCTCTCAAGCATAGGCACATACTTTATTCCCCTAAGGGTAGTTAGAGATATTTAATACCTCAAAACATTTGCTCTTGTAGTACCGAAACTCGTAGAGAAGTGAGCCCATTCCCACTTATAATGGAAGTGGGTATAATACACCTTAATACCTAGTCGAACCACTCACCATACACTTAAATTAATAGATGTTATTTATATATTTCAGGATATTACAAATAAAATCATTTTGGAAACAATTGCTATCCCAAAAGCAAATAAAGCCAACAATGACAAGGTAATAAATCAGTTTTGACATAACTTGAATACTAAAAAAGCCAAACAAAGGTGTGACAACAGTGAAATAACTTAACAATTTCATTATTTTGTAGGATTAAAGAAAGTTAAAGAAAATCATGTCGAACTGATCAACAAGAATCCCCAAACAACTCAAAAGAAACCTACAAGGAAGACACGTATTATATTTAAATTATCTCTATCTCTAAATAAATAAAAGAAAGTTGCTATCCAGGTCTGAATGGCTACAAATTATATTATTAACACATTTATATAATTATATTAATATAAATGTGTTAAAATTTTTATAATATAATTATAAAAAAATTATTTTGTAAAAATAATTATAAATATTTATTTATTAAATTTTTAAATGTAAACTGAACTTTATTACTATAATACTCTTTTCATTTTGATTATTTAATTTAATAATTATTTGCATGAATAAAATTATTTAATAAGAAGTATATAAAGAAGACCCTTTTTTTAAATTTAATTGCTTTTAACACTTATTAGCGAAGTGTAGTGTTGATATATAATATTGAATCTGTTACATTGGGTTAGAATGGCGCGGTACTCGAAGCGATTCTGCGTAAAAACGTTATTTAAATATTACATAAGCGGTCGCTTTGCAAGATTAGGCTTGAAGACGAAATAATATGTATGAATGGCTAGACTTTCACACGGAAGTCTGTGGGGCGAGTGTCGAACCCACGGCCATCATTCAATTGGGACGATTGAATGATTGACCGGACACTCGGTCACTGCGCCGAGGCCGCCTGCACACCGACGGCGCTCTGCTACTCCTCGCTAGAAATATGCATTGCTATAATAATAATAAAGCCCGTTTTATTTCCAATCATGACCAAATTATAATACACAGCTTACATACAATGCTTTTAAAACACATAATATTTTACATTTTTTAACATTTTTTTTCTTTTGCTCGCTATCCTATATCCTAGCTTCCTTCAGTACCGGAACCCCTTCACGGGTAAAGGCCTCCTCCAGCTTTTTCAAACTAACAAACTAACTCTGTCTATGATTTTCTTTCTCCATTCGTTTCCTGCTACCGCTTCTATTTCTTCTATCCACCTTTTTTTGGGCGACCTCTTCTCCTTCTTCCTCTTGGTCCTTTCCATACCAAGTTGTCTTTAAGGTCCACCTATTACCTGTGTATCTTGCTATATGCCTAAATTAACAATGCACAGTGAATAAAATTATCATAATTAATTTAAAAAATGCAATCAGAAGCTGGACTTACGTCTTATAACTGCGCCGGACTAGATTGTCTAAATTAAGTGGGTCGTGCGTTCGATTTCGGGGAATTGAGACGCGACAGTTTGAAAGTGAAAGATGTGCAATTGATGCTTGAGAGGCACTTTATCAATATAAGCATCAATTCGTTCTCATTTATTTCGATTTAGATTTATTGATACTCGTCAGGCCGTCACTCAACTGTCTGTTTGTTAAGTTGTATTAAGATAAAAATGTATTATGATCAGTTAAAAGCATATGCTGGCGAAGGAGAACCACAACTAGCGAATTAATAGTTTAATTCCAAAAAGTCCAAAACACTCGTTTTCCTGTGTCAGTAGAAGTATGTACAATGTACATAGCAGTCTGCAATTGAGCGAGTTACGTCAGGTACTCATCTAACGGGGTTATTGACCAGTGCATCGCTGCTTTTTTGCAGGGAAGCCTGCGTCTGCACATTCTCGATCCCCGGCCCGAGATTCAGAGCGATAACTATATCTGTATCATAGCTAAAACTAAAACTCAGTTACATTCTGCTTTTAAGATAAGATTCTGTCGTCGATTCGTATGTGACACAGGTTTTCGGTTAATCTGCGCGGCTACATGAATGAGATTTTTTATAAAAAAAAGTTTTCGTTTGTTTCAGATCAAAAGGCGGCATGGTGTCGCCAAGGTATTGCTTAAGCCTGTTTGTGGCGTTGCATATCACTCTCTCTGATGCCGGTTAGTATTTCCCAATGGTATTTTAGCACTCAAATTATTATTCTCCTAGGGTTTTCTAATACGAGAAAATTTCTTGGAACTTATTAGGAATGCATTATAAAATATAGCTGTCATAAAAACTTGAAATTAACATACATAATATTAAACTTGCATTACAGCTATACGAAAGTTATCAAGTTTCAATTTCAACTTGTTTTTTTGGACTATTTATAATCTAGGTCGCATATTATTTGCAGACGTTATAATTTTCAGTCAGGTTCTCGTATTACCGTCGAATTCAATGTGTGATGCATGTTCGTTCGTGATTAAGTAACTTGTCGTTTATCGCTAATTAGAATGGGACGGATGTACGGACAGGTATGCGATTCCCATGCTTACTAGACATGGGGCTAGGGGGTGCGGGTCGTGGGGGGAGGTGCGATCGAGCCGGACCGGCGGCATTCCTCGCGTGACTCAGTCGGCGTTGTGGTATGTAACTACCACCGCTTTATTTGCGGTATCTGCTAGGATAACCAAGGTCGCCCCGCAAGGGTGAGCCTTCAGAGATTTGGCCGGACCACGGCCATAGCCACAACGCGGTTCGAAAGAAGTTTCAAATCAAAATTATCTTGTTTTGCGCTATCCTATTTAGTGAGGTATAGCTAGGTTAGATGTAATAAGAGGAATGCAAGTTTATTTTAACTGAATATGTTTTTATTAGAAAAATCTTAGTTTAAGATCAGTTGCCATTAAAGGAACATAGAGACGTGGGGACGAAGAGTACGTATTTAGTTGCGCCATTGTCAATTGTTGTTCACTAATTCGATACGCTAATTATTTTGAATGCGACACATTTCTTTGTCTTCTTCGGCGTGTTTATTTTGTCTGTTTGACTTCTATTGTTATCGAGTTACTAATTGCTTTCCCGCGTTATAATTACCCTTTTAAACCATTGTAAACACTTGGGTCTTTCAATATAAACTAAATAACGTCGTCTAAACTGCCTAAATGATGAAAAGTGCAAGTAACATTCGTAACTTAAGAACATGGGAATATTTTATTTCTCTTGTCACTTCTCTTTACCCGAAAAACACAACTATTGCCAATAAAAGCTGCGCGGTCTTTTTACATGGAGGGCGACTTCTAAACATTGCATTACTTCACAGGCATTTCCGGTCATAAGCTTATCAACTTTATGCCATTTCGTCCGACGTCGTGGAAGTATTGTGGGGCATACGTGACATTTGCGTTGCCGGCTTATCGCTACCACGTACTCAGCTATTACGTACTGTACTTCTTTTGACACTGTTAGTTTTCTCTTATAAAAGATCATAGTATATTAATGAGGGTAGGTACTCTTACCAAAGGGTAGTTCACGGCGTGATTAAGGACGCTTTAAAACTTATTAAATGATTTTTATTTACTTATTTGAGTGAAGCGTTAGTCCTTACGATGTTATTAATATGTGGCGCCAATCGTGGCGAAATATGATTAAGTAATATTTACTTGTACAGAAGCCGGAAAATTATATATTTAGAGAAATAACTGCGACAGGAAGGCTCTGACGGAGTAATTAATGAAATTAACATGTGTTTGTCGCGCGGCGCCACTGCTGCCTTTGGAAAGTTATGTTTATGCACGTTTATTTTGCGATAAGTAATATGACATTGATTTGAAAAGAATTATACGGTGGAGGCCAGTATGATATGCATGAAATTAATCCATTGTAATAAACATTACGATGGAAAATTTCGACGCTGTTAGGTATACTACAAATATAATTAAAATTAATTATAAGGTAATATTGAATCATCCCTGATGATATATTATAATAATAAAAGCAGCAGAGACACGGAACGATAGGGAATAGTACGGGGCGAAGGTCTATCGATCGTTGGCGTGTCACCTTGTATCTCTCACCGCTCTACCGATGCCAGGCTACAACGAAATTATACTGTATTACGTAAATGTACGCTATACATTGAGTTTCGTGTATGGGACTGAGGTAACTAATGCTATACTAAGAATACGCCACGAAGGATTCTAAGAAAAATATTATTCGCTAAAGCGAATGAGTTTTAGAGTGAAGAGTGGAGAGGTTTTCTTGCGGACGTCGAGGCATCTCAGTTGTCAAATGAATCAATACAGAGAAAAAATAAGATAAAGAACTTATAAGACGCCTGACGTGCAATGAAACCGTGACCCAATGTTTATGTCTTTTTCTACGTTCATAATTTCCGATGTATTTATGTTATGGAATAATTTTATTTATTTGTTTCCAACCAGTGCCCGAATCGAACAATTACGACTAATGGGGTGCACTATAGTCGTATTCTAAGCTGGAAAGTAAAACAGTCCGGCGCACAAGCATAATCTAAGCCGTCGAGGCCAAGAGGCCGTCGCAGCACGCATACTCATTGTTAACTCCCGTCAATCTGATCTGATCATAACATTATTTACATTACTAGCCATTCAATATTACGATGAGATAACAATCTCTTCGTTCTCTTTCGCATTCTTTTCCTGTCGAATGACATTTCGATTTCCGTCTTATGTTGTTGGCAAAAATAGTATCTTCCGATTGCGAGAATATTTTTTTAAATATGCGACTAATGAAGATACACGTTAAAAGTAAAAAGCGAGATTCGAGGGCGAGGTCAAATGCAATGCACGACGTAATATGATGCCGGGTGACACGCAATATTCCAGGAAGAGAACACTTCTACGAGAACGGAGACGATCGTTTACTTCAACACCAAAGCAACCTTAAGCCGACAGGTCGGTCTACGAAAGTCCAGTAAGTGGAACATATCAGAATTAACGTGTTCGCCTCATAAGTCCACATTACATAAATTGGGTCGAATAAGGCATGTTTGTTTAGCAAACGTTAGATTCCTGCTCGCACTTCGCAGCGGCGCACGCGCGCTCATCCGTGTGTGAAACGTTACACATGCGTCAGTGTGCAACATGCACCGGTGACGTAATCAAACAAAATCTTCATTTTGCAACATTTACTTTTACTGCGATAGCATTATTATAGATGTTAACGTGAGCCTGATTTTATAATAAGGTTTACAACATTTTAAAATTTGATTATTAAAGACCTAATCAGAAGTAGGAACCCAAATAATTTGCGAAAGCAAGCTTAAGCTAATGCTTCCTTAACCTCCGAACGGATATCAACAAATACCTAGTAGGTACCTATAATTTAAAAACATGCAGTAATTAATGTGCAGATGAGAAAGTATGTCGTGTTGTTATAAATGAAAGTAAGCAAAACCATCAATATTGAGAACACTCTTACGGTCGCTGGATCTAGAACAGAAACACCTATTACGTTCACATTTCGCTCTTATCGATCGCGATTCAAAGCTGAAATAACCGCCGAAAGAAGCTTCCCTACAGAACGATTATCAGAAAGACACGCTCACCATTTGCTTTGCCATGTGCATTTGTATTACCAACGTATTTTTATGCAAACTAAATGTTTATAAATTACCTCAGAGCTAGTTAACAATATGTAAGGCTTGCTTTTTTTTACGTAATGAATTTTTTAATACAGTTGCTCAAAAAGTGGCGTATTGCAGGGACGTAATTGGGGATGTGGGTTTGCTTTTTTTACTTTTCAACTATTTTTTTCCAATTAAAAAATTTATAAAAAAAAAACCAACACAATTTTATAAAAAAATATAAAATTTTTATATTATAAATATTCTAAAAATATTTTAATATAAGATTTAATATTATTAATAGTAGAGACATTTCATCTCATTAAATTTCATTTCATATCAATAAAAAATTGTACTGAAGACTTGGCTGTATGGGCATAGTTCCCTTTGCCTACCCAGAATGGGTGAAGAAAAAAAATCTGCTCATATTTTTTTACGGTGGGCGCCATTTTCCAAAAAATGTTCTTTGGCGTTTAGTTGTTTGTTATATTATATATTAAATATACAAGAATAATCATACAGAAATAAATAATAGTTTATCTCAAACAGTAAATAAATATGCATCCTAAAACTTCTCCAGTTAGTATAAAAAATGACATGTGAACAATAATTTTTATAAGAAATAAATGATTAGTGAGTTGAGTTTATTGTTTTTTTATTATTTTATTAAATTGCATAATTTTTTCGAATGTATTAAAAATAGTTGTTCAGTACACGTGGGTTGCAACTTGTTCCGACTGTCAACCCTATTCTGGTGTAACATTTGTCGAAATTTTAATACACTTGTAATGAAATATATAACGATACATGTTTATTTTTAGGTCCCGTGGGCCCATTGCCAAATGTGACGAGTGTGGATTTGGGACTGAAAGAGGGTTGGTAACTTATATTATGATGTAAACCTGCAAAAACTGAATATAATAATTCATACATTTTGTAATAAATAACTCGGTCTAAAAATGTTACTCTCCCGTAGGCAGCTGTGCCTTAGGCGATGTGGTGTACTTACCCGGAGACGAGTTCCCGGGTACAAACCCTTGTGAACGCTGTGCGTGCACTGGAGGGGAAGTGCGTTGCGAGAAGCAGCGCTGTGAACCGCGCCCTGGCTGCAAAGCCGTTCATCGACCCGACCACTGTTGCCCCACCTACCAGTGCGGTAAGTTCTATATTACTACAGAGATCTGATCTTCATAAAACTTTAACGAATGACTATTAATGACTTCTTCTTGATAATTTCAGAGTGTGAACAAGAAGGGCGCGTGTATGGTAACGGCGAAAAGCTCGTTGACCCGCAGGACCCATGCCGCGTGTGTTACTGCCAGGGCGGAGAGGTGGTTTGTCGCCGGATCGCTTGTTTCGTTCGGGACGATTGCCAGCCGCGTCTCGTTCACGGCCGATGCTGCCCAGAATACGACAATTGCCCTCTCAGAGGTATATTTTTTTAATAATCAAGGTTTTTCTATGACTAAATTATTTTTGGATCAGAATATATGTATAACCGAGATTCAAATATCTACTATTTCTTATTCTATTAGTAACAACAGATTACAAAATTTCAGGTGTGACATCAGTACACGGAGTTTCGACCTCCGTACCGCCCAAAGTTAACACGAGTGCGGTGCTCCCTCCTCCCGGACCTATCAAGCCAGGCTTCACAATCAAGGAGATCACCCCGGTCTCGGAAATTCCTGTTACGGACGTGAAAGTAAAAGAGATATTACCTTCACCGAATATGGATGTCGATGAATATTCTTCCTCCAAATCTCCATTGATTCCACGTGAAGCGACTTCCGAGACAAGCACAATTGTCGATGCAAACGTTAAGGCAAAACCCGTAAACATTGAAAAGTCCGAACAAAAGTCTTCACGTGAAGAGAATATACCTAATAATGGCAACGCTGACTCGACGCCATCTAAAATAAGCTTCTCCACACAAGATTCAATTAACAGTGAAATATATCCTTCAAATATTCCCTCCTTAATACTGATGGGACCTCCCTCTGAATCCATTTCTTTAAACTCTATGTCCACAAAGAGTCCCGTTCTTGAAGAAGAAGATTCTTCGTTATTTGATCACAACCCCGCATTTCCACCAATACCTGACGATCTTTCTGTGCCTGGTAATCACGAAGATGAAATTCTTCCGGAACAACATTTTGACAACGATCAAATATCTGGTATTAGTGATATAATGGTAACAAATGACAGAATAATAACAGATGCTCCTATTGTTAGAGAATCAACGACAAATATCTTGTATACGACTAAGGGACTCACTGTTACCACTGATAATTTAATAGGTACAGATATTTCATCCGAAAAAAAAATTAACAAAATCGAACTTTCAAGTACTGATTCTTCGACTACAAAAGAAAATCCTATGATAAATCTCAGATCGGTATTGCCTACTCAAATCCTTAATATCCCTTCGTTTATTACCGACGAAACCACTGATGATATAGACACCACTACTGATGACTCTCAACTGCAATCATCATCTGAAAAAGGCGTGGAAATTGTTAATGATGATGGTCTTGATCGCCAAAGTAGTAGAAATGAAACTGATACAGACTTTCAAACTCCAAAATCTGAAGAAAGTTTTACCAGTTATGAATCTAGTACTGAAATATATATAGGTAACCAACCGAGCTCTATATTAATCGAATCGAGCGATCAAAACCCTCATGATGTGTCTGATAACATTTCGGATAATACCTTGGCCTCGTCGACGGTAGGCGCATTGAACGTGGAAACAGAATCTGATATGACAAGTTTATCTAGATTGGAACCTGATAAAGAAACTTCATTTGAAAATATTGAAACAACAGAATTTATGTTTACATCTTTCGGTTCTCATGAGAGCGCGACTGAGGAGGTAGAGCTAATGAAAATGTCGACTGACACAGAAAAGAGCTCCGCGCTCATTAAACCATCTCAAGAAAGAAACATTAACGTGCTAACAGACTTAATCAATTTAGTGGGTGATGTGGCATCCATTAGTGACCATACTGATAATCCCACAAAGTCAGTGGGTGGCTCGACAACAATTTCAGATTCCGAAGAACTGATTCCAGTTAACCTTGGCTATAAGAGTAAAAACAACAATTGGAATTTGAATTCCATTACTGAAATTCCACATAAAAGCAAAAATATGCAGACTTCTAAGACGAAAAACGTGGAAATCGAAGACGATGACGAAATTGAAAATATTACCGATTCTCCGCCACCGAACGATAAAATTGAACCTACAACTAGACGACCCGTCATAGATGACGTGTCTGATGGTAAACAACAAAACATTAGCGGCTCCGTGGAGAATAAAGATATTGAAATTATTACTCGGGCGTACGTGCCGACTGTTAACAAACGTCCTACCAAAGTAATATTGGGAAATTCTAATGAAGCCCTATCAGGTTCTCAACTAACAGAGAGCGGAAAAGCAACATCCGATACTTCCGATGAAGAAAAGGACTCAAAGCATTTAATCTTGACCTCGAATTACCGAGATGTCACCACAACGCAGTCCGTGGAAGAGACCGATCAGCCTCTCGACGGAAGCCTCGCTCAGTGAGGAGCTTGGATAAATCTTCGGGAACCTCAATTACACGATTACTGTTTCTAATCGAAATATTTCAGAGACTATTAGTTTTACGGATTTATTTGAATTGTCAATTGTGAGCGTAGAATAACTATTTATAACTAAGTAGCCACCCGAGAGCTGGTTGAATTTATATTGTATTAGTTGGACAAATTATTTATAAAGATAGATTAATGACGCAGGCGTCGCGTCTCGTGTTTAAGTTATTTATTTTAGTGAGAAACGTGAATCGATTAACTAAGCTAGTCATTATGTGACGCCGGGAGGCGCCACGTTGCCATTCCCGCTAGCTATCGAGCCGGCACCGGCGTACGTTCCATTTCCTATAACCGATATTGATATATATAATTGCTCTCCGCAACGCTCACGCTAGTATTACCGAGTGAGACGCTGTCGTGTGTCGTGACGTCGAAGTGGTACCGACCCATAATAGTACATAGCCGTAGTTCCTCTAGGATAAATAATAATTAAACCTCTTAGCCAATCCGCGACCAATTGCAACAAAGTGTAAAACAAACTTTGGTACAAACAATAGTTAAGTGTAAAGGACTTATGAATAATTCTAGACTAGTATCGCACAAAGTGTCTACTATTGCACAATCTATGGATATTCTGATCTATATTAAATCAAATATTTACTTATTATTATATATACATTTAAGTATATTAGTGCGCTTTTATTGCGTCACGAGAGAGCTCAATATTTCAAACACTTTATACTGTCACTATTTTAGTTAATCTGAAGGTTTTAGGGGGCCAACTCTACCTTGGCCCTCGATTCTGACCGGTTTCTCTTTCCTGATATACGAGCACATGGATCGCCCTGGCTGAGTGGAGTCGCCCGATGTGTCTTCTTGCCCCGGAAGACCCTTTGAAGCGCCTTTTCCGAGGCAATAAGCGCATGAGCTCATTGTAATGTGTATTCCATATTCTCATTGGTTTTTACAAATAAAACAAATTAGACTGACTGTGTTTTTTATTACAATACTGATTCAACTCAACTACTCACTTTATATCTTTTTATAGTTCATGTTTTAGATTTTATTCGACTTGCCTTTCAAATTCATCATAATCATAATCATTATCAAATCATTATCATAATCATTATCAAAAGAAAGTTAAATCTCTTACTAATTTTCCCTACTTTGACACCACCACTGTGGTTGGGTATTTATTTACTTGTGAACTAGAAACAAATTATTATACTGTGCAGTTTGTGTTTTTTAATAAATCCGATGGCTGCCGGAGGTTGATACGTCAGTCAGGCACTTCGCCAAATTGCGAGACAAAAAGTTTCATGAAATGCTAATCCGTTACGAATTTATTTGAATATAAAATGATTTAAGATAAATTTTGGGTTTGTATTAAGTTATGGGCTCACTGTTTGAATATCTTACAAAAAACACACTTTTAATTATTTCTCTTTCTGTGTATAACTGTGGTAAGTTATAATAAATATATCAATTGCAAATAATGTTTTAGTTTCTTCTCAAAAATATCTCTTCTTTCTAAAATATATTTGATTCAGCGGCTTCAGTTAGAAGATTAAATGAGATTAAACAATAGGTTAAACGAACATGCATTTTTATCTATTTGCATTAAGATTCAATTATGGTAATATTATCACAATATTAAGAAAGAAGTTTTAACTTGGATATAGTTAGTATTGTTATTTACCACAATCTATAGGAGCGCTAATTACCGTGCATCTTTTGTATCGGTAGTGTACGTATACTCGTATGTAGACTGTAAAGATTAGTGGTAGAAGATGTGGTCGCGCCTCCGTCAAAAGTGGTCAATAGAAAGGCATAATTACCCTCTCGTTGACTATTGCGAATACGGTAGTTATTTTCGAAGGCTTTTTCGTAGTTAAGACACTGATTACGCAATGAAGTCATCAATGATTATGATTGTGTTTCTTGGGTTAGGTTGTCTTCGGAATGCAATATGTCTATATCATTATTTCATAAAATATTTTTCTACTCAAATAAACCACATCCTCAAAAGACCATTTCAGACTGCAATCTACATGGTCTTCACATAATCTTGTTATGTCTGGACTTTAAAAGAGACTGTGATCTCTGAGTTTATTTCGGCGTTTCTTCTCAGAGTAGTCAGATAGGAAATGTCGAACTCATCTAGTTTAAAAAAAAATATGCTTGACGTGTCAAAGTGTTTGTACAAACCTACTTACGGAAAATAAATAATTTATCATAGTAACAGATGACTACAACTACAAAAAGTATCGTCTAACTTTCATGTTTGATGTATGTGTAAATTAAAACAATTTTGACAAATATTCTTGTTTGCTTTTGATCTTAGATTACTGTTTCGACGTTTTCGTGTTTGCGTTATAAAACAAGAGTTTTGTATAATATTATTATATTGAAGCTATGCAGTTTAGATAATTTTCTTCAAATCTATTAATATATTAAATTTGTTAATGAATGTATCATCAATAGTCGTCTCAGCAAAATATCTATGTTGCTCTCTCTTTTTCAAAATAATAAAATACAGCAACACAGCAGAAGGTGTAGGCTTTTACATGTAAAATAACTTTCAAAATTAGATAGTTTTGAGTTTATCAATTACGATCATTTCTCATTTATAAGGAAGCATAATTTCAGAAGTTTCATACTTATTGTTAAGGAAAAAGAGTATAAAGGTGCTCCCCATTTCAACAACATTAGGGAGCAGAATTGATAGTCTGACGTGACCAGGAGCGCAGGACAGCAGAGTGGTGAAAGTATATCGCAGAGGTCCGGCGGCGGAGGAGGGCGGCCGTATATCAGCCTCTATGCGTCTCGCGCGCCTCACTCCGCTGCTTTGCTGGTAAGTTGCACTGTTTATTTTCTTTAACATTTATTTACTTTGGATTATCTTTTACGTTTAAGGCTGGAAATTATTGTTATTAATCTCATTCGCTTATAAATCCGATGTAAATATTTTCTTTGTCTTGTTTGTTTTTTTCTATTTCATTTTATTATATCAAACTAGCAAACGCTATCTTAAATATAAACGATTGATTCAACATGACCTTAAAATAGGCTGAGAAGGCAATCAGTGTAAGCAAAAACAATTTATTCTCCCTCTGTGATGTGGCTTGTTTTAAATATTAGAAAATTATTATTTAATATTATAGTGTGTTTTATTATGTCGTCTATGTTATATTGTATCGTCGCAGAGTCTGCCTCAATTCAAATAATTACAAACTAAACTTATGAGAACCGTATGTGTTTGGAATGTTGATCACATATTATATAGAATCATTATACTACAAAGTTTATTGGTACCTAAACTGTATTATTATTAATAAAATTGTTTAAATTTTCCAAGAGAGTTATTAAAATATACATAGTAACCTGATTTAAATATAAATTGAGGCAAAATAAACTGTAACCAGTTACAGAGGTATTTTGGGTTCCACTGCCATACGAGTAAAAGCGTCGTAGATATTTAAAAGGTTGCGTAATAAGACATAAATGTTGGCCACGATGTTCCCTTCAACTTATATAAGGCAACGTGATGAGTATCGCTTATCGGCTGAAGGAAAGTAGGCGCATTATATCATATCGTTTTATTTCGCATTATACAAATAATTGTCCTAGGTAGCCTTGCAGGTTATATAATTTTGTCTAATGTGTAGTAATATTGATAATGATTTGATTTAAACCATTGAGGTTGATGTTCAAATAACCAATTGATATGTAGTAGAGTGTCACGGATTGTCGTAGAACTTTCTTATCGTGAATTGTTTGTATAAGTGCCGTGAGGCTGCATTGCGCATACAGGACACAAAGGAAACTTAACAAATTGCTTTATATTCTTACTATTGGTCGTGACTCGACCACTTTCTCCTTTGAATATCAACAGTATTACGATCTGCCCGATTGCGACGCCAACTCTTGCGCAACAAGAAGAGCCTTAGCGGAGACTTTATCGTTTCGACATGTTATATGAAAGGCGGTATAAGTCGTCGCGACTTTTTAAAATAAACAAGATCGTTTTGTGGTCTTAATTTATTTCATTAACTCCAAACTTTCACTTCGTTTAGAATGGGTAAAATTTCTAGCAAACAACATTTTTAGTTTATGTCCGATGTCTTTGTTCTCTTAATACTTTTCTAAGCTTTGTAATTTTAATAAGGCAGTAAACATTTGCAGGTTTGTGCGATCACTACAAAAGCCATGAAGTCGTTAGTTCTGTGTGTCGTGATGGCAGTGGTTGTGGCCGCAGTACCCGTGCCACAGCGAGAAGGCGCCGCCTACACCAAAGAGGCTATCAAGCAGGCACAGAGCACATACCTCATTCCCAAGGATGCGGTAATACATAAGGTATATCGCCTCTTCGTATAAAACATTTTGCAGATGCTACTACGGCCTCTGATACTTCGCCTCGTGTCCGTGACATGAAATCACGTCTCTTTTTTGCTTTTAGGTCGAAGAAGGTATCGAATTAGCGGCATACGAGTCAATCCCCGGAAACCAAAAGATTAATTTGTTTGAAATCCTTGGAGATCAGCTGCCGTCAGAAGTGATAAACAACCTGCAGACCCAGGTCAACCACGTCGGTCAGCAGTAAACCTGCAAACTAGAATAGGAGGGTACCGACCACCAAACACGACGGACTATTATCTATTGAATATATGGCTATATGACTATTATGGCGTTGCAATTTTCAAAGAAAGCTGAGTCGTTGCAGAAACACTTGACCTCTTGTTTGATAGTCAATGCAAATGAATTCGTCTGAGATCGGTGACTGGTATCCTCGGCTGTTGACTAATATTTAATTTATTGGTGACGCAACTACTTGTGATAAAACATCTTTTATACGTTTAGTAGATACATCAATTTTGTAAATAAATTATTATGAAATTTTAATTGTGTTTTTTTCTCTATCTCCTTATCTAATCCTAAAAAAATATTAGCCGCTGTTTAAGTAATAACATATTATAGGATACATATGTAACTACTACCTACTACTAATAGATAAAGACATAATGTATGAGTTTGAGAAACTTAACTTTTGACTTGTGTTTACACAATACATTACTTATTTCTCGGTGGAGCTGTAAATGTTTAATTTAGTTACTTATTGATTTATGTAAATAAAAGTTAACTTTCAACTTATAAACTATTACGAAAGCTTTAAGTTGAATAAACTTATTTTGAGGCCCCTCAAATATGTATAGTCATCTAAGTCTCTAACTCGGTTTGTATTTCCGAAATATTCGAAATATACTGTGGGGTTAACTATTAAAACCTAACCCTTCCGTCACGAGGTGCAAGCATTAAAGACTTTGTGCACCCTGAGATATAGTTATAATTAAAGTTGAGTTAATCATTAACGAAAGAATTTATTCAAATAATAGAATACAACGTATCATAAAATAATGTTTCTACATTAAAGACTTTATAGCTTCCGGATTCTGAAGAAAAAACTGTTTAACCGGATTGAAGTTATGTATTATTATAAATTTACAACTATTTAACATAATTTTAAATTTATCCGACGTTTCGCGTGCTTTACAGCGTGCGTGATCACGGTGACTGAAGACAAAAGATGTTGGATGTCAAAAAGTATCACAGCTGTAGAGAAAGTTGCCTAATCTGTATTTATTACCCCGGAGTTGGTATCGACTAAAAGATGGAGGGTTTTGGCAAAAATGGCTCACGGTGTCCTCTGTTTTCGCGGACATTCTGCACGAATGTACTTGGAATACTGTCGCTCGGCTTGGTCTCCTGCCTAGTTGCCTATGTTTTGGTCGCCCGAGCGACCGAGTCGCCGCCGACAAGTCGACAGTGCGTAATAGCTCTAAGACATGTCGGTTTCCTCACGATGTTTTCCTTCACCGTTCGAGCAAATGTTAAATGCGCACATAGAAAGAAAGTCCATTGGTGCACAGCCGCGAATCGAACCTACGACCTCACGTATGAAAGTCACACGCTGAAGCCACTAGGCCAACACTGCTCTTTGAGAGAGAGTTCTCTCAGAGAGAACTTTAAAACATTTATTTACCATTGGGCTATTCATAACATACTTTGAGAACATATTTGTTGTTTTTATATATTTTTAATTCGGATAAATTTTCTTCTTTCCATAAGCGCCAATTAATCAAATATAAATAGAAACGTGTTAATCGCAGTTATAAAATTATTATTAAGTATTTATTACGATATTTGGTAACGAACGGCTCAAGCTTGCCATGTCCTGTCGACATCGCTTCATTTTCCTTTTGATGATCATATGAAGGAGTGGCAAAATATCAAGTTTAATGAGCGCAGTTAGTTCGTGGTTGGCGGACGCAAGAAGTGCGATGTGGTGACACTCGGCGGACGACGCCGCGGTATTTGATACAGTTAATTAATGTCATACACTACCGTTACCCGTCCGTTGGACGTCGCCTGTGGTCCCACACACTTTTGTCTACATTTCACCGACTCCAATGACACTTCTACAATTTCTCTCAATATTACTTCTTGTTTCTAAAACCTTAAATCGAATAAACCCCATATTAGTAGTAGTAGAAAAATATTCTGCAATGTTGACTTTGGAGGCATTGGTAGTTAATACGGTGAGCATGGGTCCTTACGCGGGTGAACTCGGGGGCATTTGTATATTTTCACTATACGAGTATACATTATCAACGTTGTCATTGTCTTCAATATAACATAGACACCAAATTGAACAAATATATATTTTTGAGAAATGAAGCATTAGAAATAATTGATGAGGCTAGATTAAACTTTATATAATTGGTATACTTCGCTAAGGAAGCTTTGGATTGGCGAAGAGACTTTGTTCTGCAGCTTACGCGGTTAACTTTACTTGCTTATTTTAGTTACTTTCATAGCTTAATGACTTATGGCTTATTATTATGGGGTCATGCTGCTGATGTCGAAACTATTTTCATCCTGCAGAAGAGGGCTATTCGAGCAATCTATAATTTAAAATGTAGGGAATCTCTTAGAGATAAATTCAAGGAAATTAATATACTTATGAAAATACTATACTATTTATGAAAACATTATTTATGTATACAAAAATAGTGATAAGTTTACTAGAATAGAACATACGCACAATGTTAATAATACTCGGAACAAACGCAGGCTGAAATTTCCCCGTACTAGACTATCTAAAGTTAGTAATTCTTTTTTGGGAAAAGGGATACTCTTCTTTAATAAAATCCCAGAGGCTCTTTTATCTCTGCCTTTTAATAAGTTTAAGAAATGTATTAAAGAAAAGCTGTGTAAAAAGGCTTACTATAAAGTTAACGATTATCTAGTTGATAAAAGGGCCTGGACAGGCTACTTCTAATTAATTTGCGATATTTTTTTTTAAATAAGTGTTGTTTGATGATTTGCTATTTTAAAAAAGTACCGAGAGTTTTTTACGCCGGCTTTTTCTCTCGGCCTACGTCTTCTTTGCCGATGAGTAGGGGTGCCTACAAATTCAAATTTAATGACGTGGAATAAGTGATACCTGTATGTTATGTTCCATAATAAATATATTTTATTTTATTTTAAGCTTAAAGCGACTTAGAGGGACTATTTGTAGACTAATTGATGTGCAAATACTTTGTGATTGCCGGTGAAGACAAAGCGAATAATTAGAAGGTAAAATCCAGAGATCGCGACGTAATCGGCAAGTTGCACTGTAATTAGCTACGTGTTGGTAATTAGGTAGGACTGTGAGGAGGCTGGATGGCTGCAGGATGCCGTGACAAAAACCTCCCGCTTTTACACCGGACCTCGACTACCGAGATTCATATAAGCTATGATCATATCTGACGGTACGATAACTATTATAAAGAATTGAGAATACTCTTTATAAGAAACGATAAGTAATAAGTTCTGTATAGAAATCATAATGGTTCTTTTACTTGCGAAATACTTTATACTCAGTATTAAGTATTTCGCAAGTAAAACCTACTTACTTTTTGTTTTTTTTTCTATTTGTATAATTATGTATTATTATGGCAATGAAGTATAAATAAATAAATACTCAGCCGTTTTCGAATAAAGTTATAATTCTCCTTAATATCAAACTATACTAACTACCTGAAAATGGACTTAATTTAGTCTATTAATATCATCACATTGCTATATCTTATAAACGTACATGATAAGATTTGACTCGATAATCGTAAGAAGTATTAGAGGATCTTTCGCCTTTCCACGGCAAAAACGAATTCTAGTTAAGGTGAAAAGTGGATCTTTTAAAAGAAGAAGTTTTTTAAGACTTGCTGATTAAAGTACCCTCTTTAATCGTCAAGGAAGGAACACATATCGAATGATTGTTCAACATAATATTTAGAAACCGAAAAATTGAACTTGATCGAAAAGTTAACAATAACATGTTTACCATCTTTACCAGAACAAAGAATTTACCATCGCCAAGTTATATATATATATATATATAATATAAATACACGCAGTCTGCTCTTTTCTAATTTAATTGACTAATACTGTTATATAAATCGCTAAGGTTTAACGCGTAAACGTTTAACGTGACTTCGATAATGGTGTGTGAGTTTTTGTATTAATTAAAGTCATAATTAAGGCTGCGCATACGCTCCGATGTGCCGTTACATATCCTCGGCTGCCAAAGGATATATGTCTTAGTGTGAAAAATTCCATATAAAAATTACTATATTTTAAATGAGTGTTAAGTTTCAATACGACTGATTAAATATTGAACAAACGTCGTTAGTTAGATATTTAGGTATTTGATTGACAATCCCAATTATCAACATACATTTGATGTTATTGAAGCTACCGCTAATTTTCAAAATAATTAAGTCGCAGGCAAAGCATTTTAAGCTTTATTTTCAATAAAGATTTATAATTTATGAAAGGCTCACTTTTAGTGAAACGAGCTTCATCATCCTAGAAAATAGCTGAGGCACAATTTAAGATCATTCCGAATACTTTACTGTAATCTGACGTCATAAAACACCGAGTCTGAATGCACTTCATATAATTGTTATGATTGCTATTACTAAGAGATAAATAGTCATTAAAAACAGCTCGAGTTTAGTTTTTATTAAACATTTATTTCTTGTATAAGGTTTGTTCCCTCTGCGGTCGATGAATATGTGTGCTGAGCTAAACTGGAAAATAAATTTTGTTTGTGATAAATTGTTTGTTTTTACGGTGAGCCAAATTCATCTTGTGAAGTGTATCTCTTCGTGCATATAGTGGTCATAAGCAGTTATTGGATAGGTATGAAGAAGAGATAAATAAAGCTCTTGTTCTAAATAGAAAATTTAAGGCTGAAAATTACATATAGGTTTCCTAGTCAGTCAAGTTTCCGTTCGTTTGACAGAATCCTAGGCTAATTTTATTTTCGTGCTTCTTTGCAAACGGCTTTGTGAATCATGGAGCGAAGGAAGACAGGCGAGATTGACTAGAATAAACTAAAAAGCGTTAAAGCTCTACGCCAAGTGGCCGTGTTAAAATAATATAATATGTAGATTATAGATGAAGAGTCGGCTGTGGGACAGAGGGTCAGTTAGTGTCGGGCGGTCGTGTGGGCTGCACGTCATGGCTACAGTCGCGCCCCTCTGTGCCTTCGTGCTCATAACACTCGCAGGTCCTACGCAAATACGGTCATTGACCCTCAACCCACAAGGATGAACGCCTTATGACCCGTACACGTGAATATCATACTGTGTATTATTTTTGAACTCAATTTCGCTTTTGTTGTTAACTAAACTCCAACGAGAGGCGAGAAATTCGAAAGAAGTCAGTTATTGTTAGAGGTGTAGATGTAATTACTATTTAGCTTGCTAAATTTAACTAACCAGTAATATTTAAACGTTAATAAATCATTTACGTTAACAATTTTAATATTTTTATAGAAAAATAAAATAATGTAAAAATCAGAGCGTTCCCTTTTGTTTGTTTTGCGTTTCGTTGCTGCTTTATTTGTTATTTAAGAGACATTTAAGGGTTTCTTACATAGTTTATTCAGATATGTATTATAAAATCAGGAAAATGCGTAAAAGCACGCGGTCGTTCGAAGGCAAGAGCAGCTTTTCAAAAGAGTTTAACGCGCGGGCAGCTGATAGAGTTCTCTAACATTTATTTATTTTATATCAGATTTAAATGTAAAATATGTTTCACTTAGTCAAATAAAGTAGATTGTTGTTAAAAAAGTAAAATAGCCTGAGTATAAAAATAAGACAATATAAATGTATGCTTTCTCGCGCATAATACGAGCGATATAATATACAATGGGTATTATTAATAAGTTCCAAGAAGTAGTTAGGACCGGCGGGAAGGACACCAATAAAAAGTAATTTATTTTTGCGGCCCCAGTCCTCGCCCTTGAAATGTTCACCTGAGGTTTCACTGCTATTGTTATTTCAGTTAGTCCACAACTCGCTGATCTCGACAAATCATTTGCAGGTTTTGGATAAATTTATGTTTTTATTGGAACAAAGAACTAACAATGAATGTACAAAATTAACAAAATATTTAGCGTGCCTTGTTAGTAGGTGTTAGCGTAAATAGACGGACAGTATTATTGAGAATAATAGATTGTGTCTGCCATTAGCATTTAAAACAATATTCTCTAATTAGTCCATGAAGTGAAATCTTCCTTGTGTTAATGACTCCTGACAACTGACCCGGTTCCTTGTAACAAACACTTTGTTTGTATTATGTCCACAATTTTAGTTTTTTTTTATTTAAAAAAATCCAATAGTTCAACTTCTTAAGGCGCTGTTATGTCAACCACCGCGGTAATTAATGCAGACACCGCTATGTCACACAAATTGTTGGAAATTGAACTTTAACTCCATACTTTAGAGTCCCATCAATTCGTGTTGATCTGAACAGGAATAGAGCACCGTTGTGATTGATTACCATTTCATTATTCAATTTTCCGTGCTTTTGCCTTCACGAAATGTACTCTCATCAAAGATTTTTTTATTTAATCCAGGGCTGGGGCTTCCCTTACAGATCCGGTTATCACGTTGCTTTCAGCTCAAATGTACAATAATTTGTTTATTTAAAATATACGTATATACGTATGTTTTAAGGTTAATATTACATAAATCACGTCCTTTTTTCTAAAAACCGAAAGATTTCTGTGTAACAGCGGTGGTATCATTATTAAAATTTAAGTTTGTAAAAAAACATGCATCAGGTTGTATGTTGTAATATTTCCAATCCCTTTAATAACTGATATATGTTTAAACGATAAGTAGAATGACAGAATTTATTATGAAACCAGTTTTCGGCTCATTCAAGCCAAATAAAACACACGCCCGCGTCATTCGCGAGTAACAAGTCAAACATTTTCGAACTGGAATTGTCATATTTTTGGTTTTTCGTTGTAGTTATTCGTGGCTCTGCGGTTCGATTGACTACAGTGTCTCGGCGGGTGGGCTTACAATGTTCCCACCGTGGCTGCGACATGGGAAATGATCATGTCTTAATGTTAAATGCTGTTTCATAGCCATTATTTTCATAACTGTGTAACTACATCTCACTAAACGGGATTAGTTTTATCTAAGTTAAAAAAATACTGCAAAGTATCTCGGTTTCCAATTCATGAGTTGCACCCAGAACAGGAGGACCAGCCCCAATCTGCCCATGACAGTACTAAATAGACCAGTACTAGCCATTCCATAGGGTTATTACAAAGTAAGACAAGTTAATTGGTCTTTAAGAGTTAAGTCCTTTTTTGGATTGGTTTGAGAGACGGTGACTCGCGTTCGGTGGGCCACTAGATGGTTGCCAGAAATGGCAACAGAGAGTAACATCAGAATTTGTAACTCTATTCTGAATGGGCATTTTAGACAAACCATCGACGGGAGGGTGAATTATGATGTTTATCTATAAAGAGTATTTTTTTAAAACATATTTTAATGAAATGAGTATTTTTTATCATACAATGTATTCACAGGATAAACGACTCCATTGTAAACGCAAACTTACTCACGGGAAAGTAACGGTACGGAAACCTTTGTTTGTAATTAGCAAAACTTTCATCGTTCACTCTCACACTCTTCTGTACTGTTATTAATTATCGAGGTGTATTTTTTTAAATTGTAACTACAAATAATAGTCGAAGTCATAAGGCGTTCATCATAAGATAGTAACTATCATAAATCACGCTTATTAAAATGTTGTAAATTGATTTTCAGGCAGCTGTGAAGGTGGAGAAAATATATTCGAGTTTAACACAGCCTTGGGTCATGGTAAGAATAAGTTCGTTGCCTTTCAATGCTAACTGTTCTAATCGCTTGAATGTTGTAAGCTTATGAGGCCGAGAAACCTAATCATCATCATACGGCGGTGGCGGCGTCCATGCGGCGGGTTGTCTCTCTCCCTAAAATATGGCGAGGGAGCCGATGGCTGGCCATGCGTCATACTTGTGGTGACTGGTCGAACTTGAATTCGTGTATGCGGTGATATTAGTTATTTTGACTATGTGTTTGCGTGTTGCTCCCACGAGAATGAAAGTGCGTGCTCCTATTTCACCATGCCTCCTGCTGATAGAGGACAAGTCTTTGTTTTTAATTTATGTTATTATTATTAATTACTTAAGATGTCATGTGGAACATAGTGTAATGGTTGCAGCTCCTTACAAACGTTGTGTAAAAAAACATGGCGATTTAAAAGAGTGGCGGAGAGGTTATTGCCAGTTCTTCTCTTCCGTTCTACGCCCTTGATTTGAGAACTGGCACTAAATGTAAAGCCAGAAGCATTTCATATACAGTTCTTTTTTTTTACGATCATAAGTGTACATTGTGTTACCTATATGATTAAATTATTTTTGAATTTTGAATTTTTACACTTCAGTACAACGACGTCAATGAATCATATTCGTTTATGATGTCATCGAGAGTGTTATGAAAGTGGATGAAGTAGAAACGATAAAGATCGTGTGACACTATAATAACTTTTCAGGTAATGTTGAGCTGCCAGCGGGTTGCTTGTATGAAGGGCGCTGGTACCGGGTGGGTGCGGTTGTCCGCACGCAAGCCGCTTGCTTGTCTTGCGCGTGCGTTGGTGGCGCGCTATCGTGCCGTCGACGAAGTTGTCCGCCGCTACCAGTGCCTCCACCCCGTTGCCATACACTGCACCGCCGGGACGATTGCTGCCCTCACATACATTGCCCGGGTAACTTTAACTTAAATTGGTTAAACACGACTCTAACAAAATTTCACAGTCCAGATTTTATTGTAAAACAGATTCTTTGAGAACTTATTACCTTAAGTGACGACTCAAGGCATACTTGAATAAAGATACTGGGTATGATTTGTCTACCAATTTGTGTTCTGCGGGCAAAATCATCTAGATGACTCTAATGACTTCGACTTCTATCTGTTTCAACGGATATTGAACCTTAGCTTTGAGAACCGCAGTACAAAATGAAAAAATCTTCTCCGACACAAGGAAATGTTCAGTTGGAGCGCGATGCAGGTGATAGCTCAACACAGGAGAGCGATTACGTCAATACTAAATCGCGACAAAAGCGAAGAGCTGCGCGCGACGAGAAGGACGAATTCCTCGTTCTAAAAAACGAAATTAGGGAGTGGCTGCGGTCGTTCCAACGTGACCAAAATTCCAGGCTCGACAAATTGCAAGAACAACAGAACAGCCGGCTGGATGCCATGGAAGGTCGTATTGCCGAACTTTCCGCAAAATTGACAACAGCCAATAACACTAGCCAGGACATCGGAAAGTCAGTAGATTTTGTTTCCGAAAAGATCTTTGAGCTACAAGAAAAAATTGTCAGTTTTAAAAAGGATTGGACGGCGTTGTCATCTCAAATAAATGACCTGGAGGACAAACACGAAACCTTAGCTCAAGCTATGAACAAGACATGCATCGAAATCCGAAATGTTCCCAAACAAACACCGACCCCAACGAAGTCGGAACTTTTCGATTTCATATTAAAACTTTGTTCTGGGCTTAGTATTGAGTTACACTCCGGTGATATAAGAGATGTTAGCCGTTTTACCAACAGGAAAGATAACATGAGTTGGAACCTCACCGTTGAACTGTCGAACACCCTCCTAAAGAACAACATTTAAAGTGCGACACGCAAGTATAACATTGAGAATAGATCTAACATGCTGAACGCCAGCCATTTGGGACTAGGAGGTAACACACCTATATATGTATCAGAATATTTAACACCTAAAGCAAAGCGCCTTTATTTTCTTGCAAGGGAAATTGCGAAGTCAGAACATTACGAGTACTGCTGGTCTGTTAATGGTAACGTATATCTTAGGAAGAAGAACGGCTTTCCTTACATTCTAATAAAAAATGAAGATCACCTTAACTCGCTAAACAAAGCATGACTGGTGTTAGTTATAGTTTTGTGTTTTTTAATGTTCTTGGTTATATTTAAATTCCAAATTTTTTTGAAATTCTACACAAAGTTTAACACGTACTACAAACAAATATTATCCTATACTGAACCACTCCACAGATATGACAGTACAATAACCAAACCACAATTTATTGCTATGAATATGAATATGTCAACCCCACCAAAGTACCACTATGATAGTGAGAGATTTTATACCCCATACAAGTGCCTAATTTTCCTTTTTATACTATTCGACCAATATCACCCAATCTGTAACGCAATCCTTCACACTTTTAGGTTCAATTTTAATGTTTTTCATGTCTTCTATTCTATTTATTCTAATTTAAGTTTAATTCGAGATATTGATGATACAAATTTCATTACCAACCAATATTTGAATTATCCGGAAGACTGCAAAGTGTTTTTCGAATCCTCAAACCTCACCATTGTTACTCAAAACATCCGCAGCATTAATAAAAACTTTGATAGTTTTCTAGTGTTTCTTAGTAGGCTGCAATTTAATCCTGATTTAATTGTTTTGACTGAGTGTTGGATTGATGACAATTTTACTGGTATTCACATAGATGGGTATTCATGTACATTCTCCCACAAATTTATTAACAAATGCGACGGAATCGTAATTTTTCATAAAAATAACATTAGCCTTAATATAACAGAACCAGCCTTTACAGATGCAAACTGTTTAAATAATAATGCTGTTATCATATCAATTTACATATCACCTTCTTTTTACAATGTTGATAATTTTCTCGACTCTCTCGAAAACCTCATTTTATCGTACAATGGACACCCTATTTATATAGTTGGGGATCTTAATATCGACATTAAGGAGACGACCGACGATCACAGAGCTCATAAGTTTCTTGAGTTAGTGAACTTCTACGGTCTTATACAAGGTCATTTCCTACCAACCCGTGGTGGTAATTGTCTAGATCATGCACTCATCAGATCACATTTGCAATCACGCGTGGCTGTTTGCCCATCCCAAGTGAGTGATCATATGTCTGTTATTATAGGAATCGATCAGACCAAACACCTCAATAATAATTTAGTAAAAGCCTCCCCTATGATGAGTAAAGTTATAGACTACGACCAACTATATAAAGATTTAGCAGGGGTCGATTGGAGCTTTATATATAACATCAAAAATATAAATGAAACAGTTGATGCTTTCACAAGCACATTTTCAAGTGCAATTAATACCAACACAAAATAAATTCTAAAAGTATTAGAAAGCCATCGATAACTCCTGGGTTACTACGTTGTGTTAGACGAAGAGATTATCTGCATATCTTATCAAGAAAACAGCCTAACAACGAACCGCTCCTAAAGGAATACACGCAATACCGTAACTTCTGTAATAACATCCTTAAAAACCTAAAAAATTTACATGAGACTGACATTGTGTCAGTTACACATTGTGTCCTTAAGAACAAAGATAACAGTAAAAAACTATGAAAATCTATCAAAAATATATGCCACTTAAACCCAACTAAATCCAATTCTAATAAACTTCTTGATCTACAAGAGAACCCTGAAAAATCTCTCGATATTGTTAACGGTTATTTCAGTTCGGTGGGTAATAAATTGGCTTCCGATATATTGTCTAAGACAAATCAGACTGAACGAGACCTTTGCCATAAAGTTTCAATTACCGCTAACTCGAATTCTTTTCTATTCCTTCCTTGTGACGAGCGAGAAGTTACAAAAATTATTAGCTCTCTTAAGCCTAATTTTGCCCCAGGTGATGATAATATTAGTAACCGAGTGGTAATATCATTAAAAAACATAATTGCAGCACCAATTTCTTATATCTGCAATCTTAGTATTGAACAAGGTATCTTCCCTGAATCTTGGAAAATAGCTAATATCACACCCATCCATAAATCAGGCAATAAAATGGAAATTTCAAACTACCGTCCCATTTCTCTACTCCCAACACTCGCTAAAAATACAGAAAAATTCATTAACGTAACAGCCCGTTCCCACTAGTCGAAAGTCGCATAAGACTAAAAGTCGAATGCTCTGGTCACCATACACTTTGTATGGAGCTGTTCACATTAGATGAGACGCGACTTTTAGTCGAATACGACTCAAAAAACCATCCGACGGGCCAGCGCCCGTCTTAAGACTAAAAGTCGCGTCGAATCATGCTCGCATAGGTGCCTGCTTGTTGCTGTTCACACTAGTCGTGCGTCTTTACGACTCGAGCGCGTTGTTACCTCCCTCCCCGCCCCGCTTCCTAGACACACATTCCTACACATTGCTTGCTCACTCCATTCGTGTTTTTTTGTTTGACTTCCCAAAGTCGATCTTTCTGTTAGGATTGGGTGCATCCAGTATTTTCTTGGAATTTAAATTTTTTTCAACTTTTTTAATTTTCTTCGTAAGTAGTAGAGCACAACAAGTTCTTCGTCGGCGTCCATGTCGCGAATTCGCTACGTACCGAATGGCGCGAAACTACGATCTATACGACTCGCGACGCAGTGTGAACAGGGACATCAGACTTTCGACTTTTAGTCTTATGCGACTTACGACTAGTGGGAACGGGCTGTCAGATTACTGAATTATTTGGAAAAAGAATCTATCCTTGCCAATAATCAATTCGGATTCAGACATAATAGATCTACAGAGGATGCTACCGCTAGATTGGTTGAGACCATTAGTTCCAAATTAGAGGAAGGATAAAGGTGTATTGGTGTTTTTCTTGATCTAGCCAAAGCTTTTGACACTGTATCCAGACCACTGCTAATCGAAAAATTAGAAAGACAAGGAATTCGTGGAAATATCCTCTGTTGGTTTAAGTCCTATCTTTTCAATAGAAAGCAGAGGGTTCGAGTTGATGGGTATAGCAGTCAACTAGAAAACGTTTCATGTGGTTTGCCCCAGGGAAGTGTTCTTAGTCCAACGCTTTTTTTAGTATACATTAACGATTTATGTTCACTCGCACTTACGAATGCTAAACTCTTTTCATTCGCTGATGACACAGCTATAGTCTTCTACTCACACTCTTGGGAACTAGTCACACGGTTAGCTCATTTAGGTCTCCGCCAAATCTCTCAATGGCTTTTAGATAATCTCCTATCCTTATAAATGTTTTCAAATGCCTTAGAAAGCCTGCTGATCCACATACAATCAAGATAGTGTATACTGCATTATGCCAGTCGTTATTATCTTACTGCATATCGGTTTGGGGTGGAGCGGCATTGTCTTCAATGCTGAAAATTGAGCGCACCCAACGTGCCATCCTTAAGATTTCATATAAGAAACCTTTCCGCTACTCAACTTCAAAATTGTACAATGAAACAAAACTTTTAACTGTGAGACAATTATATTTAATAGCAATATGCAGACTTTTTTGGAAACAAACACCCACCGCACCGCATCAAACAAAACGCAAACCCATATATAAGCAACCCAAAACTCGCACTTTCTTCGCCCAACGCTTTTTCTCCTTCCGAGGCCCTTTCATCTTTAACCACTTCATTAAAAACAAAATTATCACGAACATTTCAAAGATCACATTACATACATTTACTAAACATCTCAAACGATATCTTGTTAACCTGTCCTATTCTGATACTGAAAATATTCTTATTGTGCAAAAATAGTTTTAATATAAATGTGTAGAAATAATTAATATAATTTTTAAAATAGTGCTTACGTGTCAAAAGGAAGAGACTGGCTGCCCACAACACAGGGAATCCTAGTGTGGGGGCCAGTGCACTTTACTTTATCTAAATATCTTGTATATTGTGCATAATAAAGTTTTTTCTTTCTTTCTGTTTCTTCTTTCTTTCAATGAAGTTTGTTGCAATGTAGATGAAGTAAATCATTGAGATCAATCTTTACGAGTAAACATTAAATATTGTGAAAATTGTAAAATATTGACAGTATGCGGATTAAACATGAAAGATCAAGGGTGGGAATTAGGAAGAAAGGGAAAAATTGCTTCGCAACTGACCGTCTCGTCTGGCTCATCAATTATTGTTTTCGGATTTTGTCACAAATATTGCTATGTCTTTTAGCTTTTTAATATAATACCAGTGGTCGAATTAGTCTCACAAGATGAAATAAATTGGAAGCATTCCTCATTTAGGTTTCCTTTGTTACTAACCTACACATATTTAAATAACGCTCCGGGCTAAAAGATTAAAATTCCTTAGCTAAGAAACGAAGTGATATTATATTAACTGAAAACATATTCAATTTTAGATGGTGTAGAACTGGCGTCAGATGTGTCGTCAGAAGAAATAATATCTGAATTTCAACATACTACGTTAGGTATGTCTAATACTATGTTCTTATATTTCCTAAATATTATGCAATCCTTCTCAATAATAGAGTAAAATTTAAAATTAATTCATCTTTAAAAAATAAATAAATGTTTGTTTTATTTCCAGCGTTACCCGCATGCGTAGAAGGCGGAACAGTATACGCCGCGGGCTCCGCTATGCGCTCAAATATAGCATGCGAGGAATGCTTCTGCCTCGGTGGCGCCAGGCGGTGCGTGCGCCCCCAGTGTCTGCCTGCACAGCCAGGGTGCCAACCTCGCCCTACACCGGGCGCCTGTTGTCCCCAGAGATATTACTGTGAACATCCCACTACCATAACACCTCTTAACAGAAACCCAAATGGTACATTTGTAGATATGTATATAATATTTGTGCTGATGTAATGCATACATATCATTTCTAGAGCAAGTAGAAATAGCAAGTTTTAAACAAGTAATATAAAAAGAATACTTAATCGTTGTCTACATTTTGTTTATTTTTAAAATATATATTATTAGTATAAATAAAACCTACACAGATTGCCAAACGAACGACGGCCAATGGGTTGAGGAGGGTAAACCTGTGCTATCAACGAAGGGCTCATGTACACAATGCTTCTGCTTACGAGGCCACATTCGGTGCCAACACTTATCGTGTGCTCCCAACCTCCAAGGCTGTACCCCACTCGTGCAAGCAGGCCAATGCTGCCCGCACCAGTACCAGTGTAATCATACTGAGCAAGGTAATTTACATAGGCTTAAGATTTGATCGACATATTTATATTATGTTTTTATGAGTTTTTAAATTACTTTTCAGATATATCACAACACAATCTAGAGAGTTTAGAAAATTATTTAGAGCACAGCAAAACTGAGGACAGATCTTTTCATTCATCCAAATCTACAAAACGGGAAACTACGGTTAAGACGTTGAGTACTGCAGCGGATAATATCTCAACTGTAACCAGTGATAAGTTGCCCACTACAATAAGTAATAACAAAGATCCATTTGAAACCAGTCTAAGCACGATTGTTAGTCCCGACAGTACGCAAACCGAGGAAGATTTAATCGAATATGACACGACAATTACTGAGCCGAGTACTACTGCAGTGACCACCGATAGTTCAATCACAGAACAGCCCGAGAACTCGGTGAAAATTATGATAAATGGTACTATTAATTGTACTTCCGAATTATCATCGACCTCTTATTATAATATAACAAGTACCAATGATACCCTCAAAATGCAAGCGGAGATTCAACCAAGAATACCATTTACTGATGAAACAGGAATTGAAGCTGTGACTTTTCCAGCTAATGAGATTATAACAGAGAGAACTCATAACGAACAGCTTGATGATACTGAAATCTTTGTGATAAACGTGACGAGCTCTTTAAGAACAAATGCCACGTTCCCTTCACCAGCTGTAGTGCCCTTTTCGTCAACAACAACTCTACCTACTACGACTGATCTGCCTATGCTAGCAGACTCACATAATATCTCTAAGAAGACTAAAGAGGACGCTGACTATGATTATAGTGAAGCGACGCTACCACCATCACTCCCTAATTTGAAGTAAGTAGTAAGTGCAGTCTATAGTTAAAATACCGAATAGTAAAACGAAGATTTACAACAGAACTCACTATTTCATTTCGGGCCAAAATTGTATAATCGGAAGGAAGATGAAGACGGATCACCTCATGCCTTAATTGTATAAATCTTGTAGAAACAGTGTTTAATTAATAGTTTTCAGCAGCTTCTGTGGGCTGTCATGAACAAATTAATGTTAACGTTTCCTCCACGAACTTTGCCATATTTTGTTATTATGTAATTCAACAAATCAGGGGTGACAATTTCATGACTTGTCTTCTTGAAAAATATGATCATGTATTTAATTATCAGTTTTTGTTTTAGAATTATTCCATTCGTAGCAGCAGATGCTGTAGTTGACGAAGACTTGTCTGCGAAAGAAAGTTCTTATCCTGTGATAGAGAAAGAAGAAAAATTTCCCGTATATCAGTCAAATAACGACAGAAATGTTTATTCTAAACGGCGTGAAGATGTATACAGTCCTATACAATATCCGACTTTAACAAATAAAAACGAATCGGAATATATTTTCACTAATCAACCAACAAAAGATATCGAAAAACCCATGGAGTTCACAATTGGAACTTCTTTTAATAACGCAAAGGAAACTAAACCTGAACATAACTTACCTGTCAAAGGCAACACGGAATCGGAAATGCCAGCAAAGAATCTCTTCTCACCTCCTATTCAAACTGAAGGTATTTTACACCTAACTGCACATTTATGTTTATAGTTTCCCGTTACTAAATAAATACTAATTCCTAACAAATAAAATGAACGAATGAACATTGCGTAAAACCATTTCCAGGAGGATTCATCCCCAAAGGACCTAGTATAGCGGATGATTACTACGCATTGTATCCCAGTACCCCACCGGGGCCAGCTATACCTCACTTTACGACTTCTATGGGAAAAGTTGGCGAAGGTACGTGCAAAATATTTAAAAATTAGATACCTAATAAGTAAATTTACAGGAACCGATTTAAAATATTTAACGTTACTATCTATGTCATATATTTTTTTATTTATAAGACGGGTAGGATAATCTTTTTATTTTAATGGCTTAAGGAAAATGTATTACAAATGACGGAAGACGAGTAGAGGAAGGCGAATCTATAAACCTAGCTTGTTCAACGTGCACCTGTGCCTGGGGTGAGCTTCATTGCTCGCCGCTACCTTGCAATGTGCCCTCGGGATGTTTCCGCCAACCACCTGGGTCGCTTGATCTGTGTTGCGGGGAACTTATCTGTGAAAACGGTAACTCTTTACATTAACATAATGTAAAATAAATGACGTATAAGGCGCTAAAACTTGTTAAGATGGAATGTTAAGTTAATAGTGAAATTTTAATTTCAGGTAACCATACCAAGTATACAGAAACATCTATACCATTAAACTCTACGCTCACAAATAAACTAGACATAATTGATAGGAGCAACAACAGCTTAATCAATACGGCAGAGATAAGTATCACCACTTCAAACTCCGAAATTGATGACACCGATGAAAGTGATCTATTGATAAAGAATCAAAAAGTTAAGCAGCAAACTACCCCAACGTTAAGTTCGACTACTGTTAGACCACAAACTTTGCCAGTGCAAGTGAACGAAACCAACGCTCAATTAGACGAGTACGAAGATGATGATGATGCCGATGAAGGTTTTTCGCTCGGAAGCGTTCTTCAACTCCTTCTCAGCGAGACATATGAAACAACTTCTACAACACCCTTTAAGAAAATTCCGTCAAATGTAACTCCACTCTTCCCTCCACCAAAGAGAACAACAAATCCTCCATCACCATTTAGCTCCGCGACTGAGACAACAACAACAACGACAACAACAAAAAAACCATCTCAATTTTATCAAACTAATCAGTATTCCTTCATTCCATCTAAAACATTTAACACCGTAAACAGAATAGATCACTTGGTACTCGGTGAAGCGACAGCAATTAGAAAATCAACACCTCGTCCGTCAACAGCAAAACCTTTCGTCTCAACACGAAAACCTTTCACAAAACCGACTCAGCGGCCGATAACAACCAAAACTGTTGAAATAACAAGTAAAGGACACGCGGGACAGACGACGGAAACCAGGCCACCGAACATAGTTCCGGGATTTATACCAGGTTTGCCAAAACTAGCTGGATGTAATATATATGGCCGCATGTACCGCGTCGGGAGAATTATTGCGGAGCTATCGACGCCGTGCCAAGAGTGCAAATGTACAGAGCTAGGAGTGCAATGTAGACAATTAACTTGCTAAGGTTTGAAGACTTTATTATGTGCTATCCGAGGCCCGGGACTGATTTTGTGCTTTAAAAACTGCATTTATATTGTAGATATAAGCTAGTGATAATAATTTTAGTCTTAAGATGTGTCAGATCAGTGAGGGTCTTGAGAAATATATATTTTTTATATTGTTTTAATTTAAAGAATGATTCTGAGAATCGGGATTACACAGACACGGAATTACTTGTTGATTTTACGTGTTTTTATTTACATAAACAAAAGTGTAGTTAAGGCACATTTTTCACCGACATTGACGGGTTTGATCTCAGGAATGGAAATAATTGCATATGTACATTATGTAAAACAATATACCGCGATACATTAAATTGTATAACATAGCCGTGACACGACATGTAATATCTCCATTTTTAATGAAACATTCAATCTTGCCTTTGACCATGTAAAACGTTACGTAAGTATATTTTAAGGTGTATATAATTAAATAAAATTTAAAACTCTTTCTTTTTAACAATAAAAAAAATTAAAAAGAAAGAAAACGCATTTTACGAAAGGATCACTTTTATTGAAAATATATAAAAGTAGTTTATACGAATAATAATATTAGGACCTGAACTGGCGACGATAGTCGTTTAATCTGTAAATAGATAAATTTTGTACTTAGTCAATAATAAAGACTAGATTAATAATTTCTTTGGTAATCGAAATACGCTATTATCTATCTATTTATGTACACTTTCAATTCCTAAGTCGAGCGTTTTGATACAAAACACAATTCTGTGATTTCATAGAAATCGCGTTTCCAAACGTTTGCTTCCTGACTCTGTTAATTATAGTTAACGCCATCTTACGTATTGTTATCAATCCTGAAACATGTAAGTCGAGTGTCGACATGCTATCCTATCATGAGACGTACAAAATAACAGTATTCAGAGATAGACAGTATTTCCTAATCACATATATGTTTTACAAACAAATATGAAGTTTATTATTTTATTTAAAGAGTCAGGCTTTGAATATTATGTATCGGAAGAAATAACCTTACATTGTTACGTTTATAACATAATAACTACAAATTATTTTTTCATAAAAACGTTACTAATGATGAATTAACCTGTAATCCTAATTTTTCAAAACATGTAACATACAGCTTAAACGTATTATTAAGACATAATATCACACACAAAATCTCTTTCAGAGATTAGTAATGTTTTTAAAGAACTACCCTTAAGTACGGATATCAGTTAGACCTATCAGAGTCTTCGTCCAAAATATGTCTGACTCAAAGGAAGACCTTTCCAAAGCTCGTTATGTAACAACTTTTGTACATTAATTATGTTTATTCCAATTTGTTTATTGTAGTACTTAAATCATATTATTGGTTAAACGTTATCAATGACACTGTATAGGTATCTGAAGAATAAACATATTCTTCGCTAGTAAAGAAATAACTACATAAATATAGTGTAGTTTTACAAAGTATATCGTTAAAGTTGAAGTGACATCTTGTGTTTGTGTAGGTATACTTCAGTCTCGATATGTCTCACAACCCTCATATCTAGGGCCTCGTCAGTAGGGAATTGTAGCGCATCCTCTTCATCACGAGGAGCGAGAGCCGCCTTCAGCTGTAGTGGTCTGCATCGTACCAGTACGTGAAGTGTATCGCTGCCGACGTCACGGCCACCACTATTGCGCACATCGATAATATTTTGCACCATACTATTCTCCTGTCGCCGCTGTTTTCGCCTGAAATGTGGAACATCAAGAAATTAACTTTTTATTTCTGGGTTTACTTTATATTAGATAATGTATATATACATATATGTATTGTCAAGTGAAATTAAATACTGACCGTTAAAAATGAGAAAGCCGAGCGGCAGACCGGCGGCGGCGCCGAGCGCATGCGCCGCCCACGCCACGTGGTAGCCCGAGCCACTCGTCGCCCCACCTGCCCGCATTACCGCCCACCACACTTCTGAAGCGCCTAGCACCACTACACTCAGCGGTCGGAACCACCATAGAGGGATATGGCCGAACCTGTAATGAGAAATATGGATGATGCCAACAAAATAGACAAATTGTATTATTCTTATAGAATACGTCATATATCTCGACATTATATTATATCATCAATTGCCAGTATTGACCTCAGACACACGTTGGGCAGGTGTGCCGTGAGAAGCGCGTAGACAGCGGCGGAAGCACCCACGACATGCACCCGTGGTTGCAGCGCTCCCGCACCTAAGGCGCCGGCCACTAGCCCGCCACTCCAAAGGATCGCCACGCGTGCCCATCCTTGTTCGCGCTCGAGACGCCACCCCACCTATTCAAGACCACGACACACTTTTATTATTTGCAAATTACGACCAACAATGTGGCGATCAAGAATCCACATGTTAATAACAAACTTAGTATAGGGGCTACTCACTGCCAGAGCGACGAGCGCGTTGATAGCGAGATGGGCGGTGCCGGCGTGCACGCAGCCGTAGGTAATCAGCCGCCAGGGCTCCTGCCACCACGCTCCCGGTGCCCACTCTAGCCAAGCCCGCCATTCCCCGGGTCCGCACAAGTGCAATGCCGCCTAAATCAACAAAATTATTATAACAGGAAATTGATTACAGCCAATAATTTAGAATTAGCCTTAAATTTTGTTTAATTTCCCAATGTGTATTGTTTTCCTTAATACGTCATGGTAATTAATTAGTATTATCCCGTAGGTCAACAAATAGGTCATTCGTTTGCAAATTATATTAAAATCACTTACAATAAAAATGATAATGCTGATGATGAAGTATGGGGGTCGCAAAGCTTGAATGAGTACGTCTTTTCGTTTCTGAAACTTGGTCTTCGCTTGTGGCTTTATTACCGTCTTGCTTAAGGAGCACTTGGATTGTTTCCAGACCCCAAGAGTGAGTCCAGATTGCAATCCTGACTTTTCAGCCTTTCTCCCAAGCAATCTACGGTTTTCGCCGGGGCTATTGGTTCTGCTGTCAGGTCCAGGGTTCAGATCTTCATTCTCTATCCAGGCTTGTGCCGAAGAGGCTTCAACTGGCAATATTCTTCTTCCTTGGTGTACTGGTACCGTTTGGTATTCCTCCCTGCTGAGTCGCTCCACCTGAAAAGTTTAGTCACTCGTCTCATTGGATCTCACCTATGAGGCCTTATCTAACGTAAAACATAGTCATTCTTTCCATTATTAAAATCTATTACTTTATTATCACTAACACTTTCAGTTTTTAATAAATATTATTCATATTTATGAACAGACCTCTTCGCAATCCTCCGCGTGTGGAGCCATTATTTCCGGTCGATCCTGTTCTCATCTTCCACAGACTCCAAAGCTCAAACCATTGCTTGGGGCTCCTGTTGAAGCAATGATGCACGTACATGAAACTAGCTCAATTTAAACCACAGTTGGGGAAACTTGCGCTGGAATTCCCTCAAAATATTGTTAGCGGGAAACTGGCTATTTATATGTAATTATTTGCTAACCGCATCATTTCATACAATTTATCTTAAATCAACAATTTGTTCTATTTTTTCAATCCAATTCCAATTGGTAAAATATAAATTTCTTTCCAATTGAAACTTAAGTATTTATATTTTTACTATAATTAAATTCAGCCTTACAGTTCACACTCTATATACAGAATACAAACGATGTTGTTTCTTGCAAGAAAATTTTGCGGTCGCAATACAGGAAATACCGCCCAGGCGCAGCGGCTAAGGATGGGCTATTTATATACTCGTCAAATAATTAATTAATTATTAGCTTGTTCTGTTTCCTACTCATCGTAGAATTACCATGAGGAGCGACACGTGACGAGCGGAATTATCCTTCTATCGGGTGTTTTTTTTAGAGGTATAGAACTTTAAATTGCAATAAAACAACGATGGATTATTGGAATGACATGATTTTTTTTTTATTTGAAATATAATCTTGTGGAATTACATTTTAAATATGATTTCTGGCATATGACTGCCACGGATGGCTCGGATATAGTCCAATCTGGACGTCCAATTTTCGATGACTTTTTTCAACATTTGTGGCCGTATATCGGCAATAACACGGCGAATGTTGTCTTCCAAATGGTCAAGCGTTTGTGGCTTATCCGCATAGTCTAGCGGTGTTAAATCACAAGATCTTGGAGGTCAATTCACAGGTCCAAAACGTGAAATTAGGCGGTCACCAAACGTGTCTTTCAATAAATCGATTGTGGCACGAGCTGTGTGACATGTTGCGCCGTCTTGTTGAAACCACAGCTCTTGGACATCATGACTGTTCAATTCAGGAATGAAAAAGTTAGTAATCATGTCTCTATACCGATCACCATTGACGTTCTGGCCATTATCGTTTTTGAAGAAGTACGGACCAATGCTGCCACCAGCCCATAAAGCGCACCAAACAGTCAGTTTTTCTGGATGTAACGGTGTTTCGACATACACTTGAGGATTAGCTTCACTCTAAATGCGGCAGTTTTGTTTGTTGACGTAGCATTCAACCAGAAGTGCGCTTCATCGCTAAACAAAATTCGCTTATGAAAATCGGGAACAACGGACTGGAAAATTGGACGTCCAGATTGGACTATATCCGAGCCAGCCGTGGCAGTCATATGCCAGAAATCATATTTAAAATGTAATGCCACAAGATTATCTTTCAAATAAAAAAAAAATCATGTCATTCCAATAATCCATCGTTGTTTTATTGCAATTTAAAGTTCTATACCTCTAAAAAAAACATCCGATATAATTAACTTTATAAAAAAAAAAAAAGATCTAGACTCTCAAAGAAAGTTGTAAAGCCTATTGAATTTCTATTTATAATTCTATTAATATATTATAAATACAAAAAATATTATTCCATTGGATAATAAATGGATTGGCTTTTGTAATAAATCAATTTGTCCAGAATACAATATATCTATTTCGGTACGGTGTCATAATATGATAATTAGTGACATACGAGTACTACTGAATATATCTAATAATATCAGTTTTATTAGTAACTTTCTCGCTACTTCTAATTGTCTCAGTTTAGGCACTATTCTAAGTTTTGAGTTTTATGGCTTTGTTGATGAGTTTCTCTATATATAATCTATCTACACTTGAAATGTACACTTTATTGTGCCAATTTATAATGGTATCTATATATATATATATAGTATATACATTAATTATCCCGGAAGATGGATGGATTTATTAAGTAATTACAGGAAAAAGATAATGAATAATAAATTATTAAGTAAAAAAAATTGCGATACTGAGGAGTCACTTCTAATTTTTTTTATAAGGTTTTTGACACTGACATCTCTCTTGACTGTTAAGACTCTTCCTATCGTCCAGAGCGTATTGGTAATGTGGTGGCGGATTTCGATGTTACCCGCATGCTTAACCATGGTCCACCCACGGCAAACAATGCCACACCCATTCTAATAGGAATCTATTGATTCAGTAAGAGAAGCATTGACATGTTATAAACACTAATTGGTTTAATACAACAACGGGCTTATCAAATGTCACCTAGTTATCAGGTACCACGCCTGTTTGAGACATATAATTGAATGATACGAACAAATTTCTCATTTTGTAAAGAAACTCTATGTTCCTAGAAACTGTTTTAAAAAATAGTTTTAAGTTATAAAATATTAATCAAAATTATAATGATTATACTTCATAACAAAGCCAGATATCGTTTTAAACTAAATTATACAAAACATAAATTTTATATAATATATTAAATAAGTATAGAATCCTCCAAAGTTCTGTCTAAACCATCATACGTATAGATAATACAAAATGCATTTAATTAAAGCGTGATTAGAAATCAATTTAACTTTTAATGTACCTGTATCCAAATATGTTTCTAAGTATTGAGGAAAAGTGAACCCATATTCTATGTATTTTATTTATATAATAAAAACGTATTATCTCAAAGCAGACGCTGTCAATATTTCAACAGTCTAGCTAGGAAAGGCGAAGGACGGATTGAAATAGCGCCCGCATTAAAGTGTTTTAAATCATTGCTGTTTGTTGCAAACATGTTTCATAGTTATGTTAAATGAATCGCTTTATATAGGTTAGTAATGTCATATATGAAAAAGGATGACTTTCTAATTAAAAAACAATATTATACTTGTTAGAGTAACTTTCCTAATATATTATTCGAACTGTTTAATGATCACAAAAGATAAAAGTAGTTTTACAACCACTGTTTAGTAAATATAAACAAAAAGCCTCTCGAGCGAATGTTTTTCTCGCAATTTTCGAGTGGGTACTTCTCGGTCACACAAAGGATACATGACTGGGCAGGAATTTGAATATAGCGAAATTAAACAAAAACCTATTGTTTTGCAGAATCGATAAACAATATTTCATGTGTGAAACTTTCTGTGATTACAAGGACGTAGTTTGCCTGTTATCATTTTGTTTCAAAATTTACCCAATAAATTATAAACGATGTCATATTTTATCCGTCAAAGAATGTCCACGTGCAAGTGTTTTCGATTTAATATACATAGTTAATTAAACAGGTCGCTATAAAAATGACCAAAACTATCTTTTGGCGTAATTCACTTTTACCAATTTCTAGCACAACATAGATATCTAATGAAATCGACTTACGATAATCAGTTCTCGAGCTAGATTTTGCCAGAATTATAAATCATCCACCACATCAGAAAATCGACACTGATGATTATTATTCGAAAAATGTTTATATCTTTCTGTAGCAGTCTATTGCTACTGACGTCAGGCGACAAGCAAGGTGGACTAGCGAGTGATCGCTGCAGCCGTCATCGTATTATGGGCGCCGCGGCGATAATAAAGTTATCAACAACTATTCACTTGTTATTATGTGATATGTTGATTAATCGACAATTCGTTGATCGTGATTGATATTACAAACCATTTGAAACCATTGACGTACTTACTATAATAGAGATCATTTTCTGTAGTAGATTTATACACTTTATAAAACACTACTTGGATGTGTTTTTACTATTTTAGTTCGATAAGGTTACCATATTGATGAATCTAAATAGAACGCGTCTTTTTTCACCGATATATTACGATCGAATGAATGAATCGAAACAACGTTCGGTCGGAGAATTGCCAGCTGATTTTCAAATGTTATCTCAAATCGGGTGTTATTTCGGACTCGCTTTTAATCGTTGTGCAGTACGATTGCAGGGCATAGTGCAATCTAGTTCGAAGATTATCAATCGCTCACGTGTCGTGATAATAATATATATTATATATAATATGATACACGATAGTAGAGGACTGATTTACATTTACGCATAAAATATATATATACTTGGAGAATATAGATTTCATAAACGAATAAACAAAGTCAATCGAGCCAATTCAGACGTGGGGTTAATCTGGTAACCTGGTTTTAGACAATGTGGGTATAGTGACCGAGAAACCCGGGTGAGGTCGACGCACGATAACGCGTGATAATGAAACGAATCGCGGTCGCTGGACCCGAGGGACAGAGTGACGTCATTGTTCTTTCAGGGAAGGAAAATTAATTTAGATTTAAAACCAAGCGTACATTAACAAGTCTGAGGGCTGAGAGCTCGTAATTACACGCATCGATCGGAGCACCCTACGAGGCTTTGCGTCTCGTCTGCGGGACTCACTGCGCGCCTCATTATAATAATTTACTTCCGCTAATTGACTGCAGGCTGCCACTATTTCATCTCATTATAGCGGTTTTAAATCCTGTACCAACTCGACATCGATTTCGCAACATTGACTTAGCGTTCCCCACCTGAACTATATTTAGAGTATAATGCGGTTAATACACGTATTTTGTTACGACGAATGTGGTTTGGCTCTAAGGTTAAATCGTTACCGGTTATTTATAGATTACGACTGAATAAAAAAAAAACTCAACGTTTAAGACAGGTAGGCAGGTATCGATTGACGTGAATCATGTGTCTTTTTTCATACTCCCAAATGTTCGAAGTTCTGCCCTTCGTTAAAACAATGAAGTCTGTTCATTGATAACCTTCTAGATAACGAGTCACAAAGTTGGAATGAAGTCAAGAATCATTGCGTGTAGCACGCGTACCTTTTACGACACTAGGTTCACAGTAGGAAACGTTTAAGCATTTTCGATTTGGAATTTTATTCATTAAAATGTATTATAGTTTCTAACCTATTAATATATTATAAAGAAATGTTTTAGGTTTTCTGGAAGATGGTTAAAATACATCTCAAAAGGTGTACCTTATCTTCAATACTTCCGAATGCAAACGGTTTATTTGCAAACGACTAGTCACGTAGTATACT